ATATAATATTATTTTAATCTCTCTTAATTTGTCACTATTAATTATAATATTAGTAATTAAAATAATATTTTTTTAAAAAAAATTATAAAGATTAAAAAGATAAATTTTAAATTTGAGAAATCAAAATAATATTTTTTAATATTTTAAAGAGTAAAAACACATATTTTAAATTTAGAGGACTTAATATGTATCCCAAATTTAGAGGACTAAAAATGTAACTAAACCTATTTATTTACTATAAGATCTAATAATTTATACATTTATTCACATAAACAAAACCTCTTGGCTATATACATCTTCTAGATATTAATACACAGATATAGATAATAAAAAGTAGAATTTAATTATTATACACATGTCAATGAAACAAAAATAATTGTAGTTAATAAACTTTAATATATACATATCGTTTCTGATTTGGATGAGAGTAAAAAGAAAATTCTTTACTATGTAGGATGTGATAATATAAAAAAAGATAAAATGAGAAACCTGTGGATAAAGTAGAAGCCACGTAAGATTGGGCAATCTTGGTGTTAGTAGCCTTACACACGACACTACCAATTCATCCATTGTGATTTGTGAGATCATCCCACTACAGAATTGCATTAATGATCAAGACCAACAACTGTGAGTCAATTTTTTAATTTTTATTTTCAACTTTGAACTTGATTAGCTGCTACACAAAATATGCAATTAATATTGAAATTTGATGCCATATATGATTCGTGAGATATCAATCTGTGCCTATTTAGTATATATGAAGAAAGATATTGGAATGTAAGGGTGAGTAAAAGTTTCAATTTCGGCAGGATTCAACAAGTTTAGGGTTTAGCAACATATAAGTGGTAAAAACTCAAATATCTGAATCTGATATCTTAAGGTTTTAAGTCGAATGTTTTACCAAGTTCACTCATGTTCTGATTTGTGACCTATTAATGAATATCTCCCATATTTACCTCTTGGTATTCCTAACAAGAGAGACAAACACATAATTTGAATATAACTCTAGTATATCAAATATGTTAATTGAATATGAGAGATCTATTCCTAAAATCGTTTTAAAGTAGTAGATACCATTTTGTGAATTGCAACCATTCTTTTTTAACTTTTATAACAATCACTATAACAGTGTGCAATTACAGAGCTGCACCGTAAATGGGAGAAGTGAAGCTACTCGGAGTTTGGCCTAGTCCATACGTTTACAGGATCATATGGGCTTTAGAGCTGAAGGGAGTAAAGTATGAGTATGTAGAAGGAGAATTCCACAAGCCTGATTTCACTGATTTGCTATACAAGTATAATCCAGTTTACAAAAAGGTTCCAGTCCTTGTTCATGATGGAAAGCCAATAGCTGAATCCACTGTTATTCTTGAATACATAGAGGAAACATGGCCATATCCACCCTTGCTTCCACAGGACCCTTATGAGAGGGCTATGGCAAGGTTTTGGGTTAGTTTTGCAGAGGAAAAGGTAACAAGGTTGAAATTTCAATTCTTTGTATTCTTGTTCTCTCATCTCTATTTGTGATCTCAATTGCAGAGCATTTCGTTTATGTCATTCTTTGTGACTGTTGGAGAAGAGTTTCAGAACGCCACAAAGGAAGTTAGAGAAGTGCTGAAAGTGTTGGAAGAAACCATTGGGGGCGAAAAGTATTTTGGTGGTGAAGAAATTGGAGTGTTGGACATAAACTTGGGATGGATAGCCTTGTCATTTGGAGTCATTGAAGATGTTGTTGGTGTTGAAGTGTTGGTTGTCAATGATTTCCCTTGCTTGTTTACTTGGGTTCAGAACTTCAGGGAGCACCCCGCTATCAAAACAAACCTTCCAAGTCACCAAGAGTTGTTTGCTTATTACAAGCAAAAGAGAGATACTATTATTCCTTCAGAAGTAGCATCATGAATGCTGGTCAGAACTGATTTTTACCTGTTAGGAGTAGTTAGTTGTTACAAGTTTGTTAGAAATAGTTTAACTCTAATAAGCTCTATGTATAGACCATCTACATACTTCTCTAGTATCTTCTATCATTTTCAATCAATGAATGAATTACACAATGATATTCTACGATACGCCTCTTCTATATTGAGTCTTGTGATGTATGACCATACTATATTGGAGTCATTTGCATCTTTTCTCCAAGTTCTGAAAACATGAATCAAACTTATCTTAGTTATTGAAGCTTCCTGCAGTAGATTTAACTCTTTTAACCTAGGAGGTTAAATAAAATCAAAACATATATGTAATTTTTTTTAATTCCTCAGATATTATCCCTCTTTCAATTACCTTAAAAAGGGTACATTATTGTTAGAAAGGGAGTTCCCATCCCAATATTAAGTATGTTGGCAACTAACACGAACGAGGATGCGCATCTTATCTTATTTTTACATAATTTTTCATTTAACAATTTCTATTGAATATTCATTTGAGATTCATTTGTACTACTTACTCTTTTTGTTCTTTTTTCATAGTATTTTGTAGGTATTAATCCGTGTTTTAGTTCAGCCAAGAGTAGGAGACAACTTTTAATACCAAAGGTTTAACCTAGAGACAGTTTGCAATACCAAAGGTTCAGCCGAAAGGCAACCTTCAAAACCAAAGACCATAAAAACTATCAAAATGTTTAGACCAAACGTTGGTTAAGGAAAATCATTACCTTAATAAGAAAATATAAATATATCCATTAAAAGTATTCCCAAGTTGCAACTTTTAGCTTTGTAAACCATTCAACTGCAGATTTATACTATAAGAACCTAACTACACGGCAATGTTCAAGTTATCAGTGCGCTTTGATTTCTTTCAACCAACATTTGTGACTAACATTGAGAGAACTGCATAGACATACAAAGTAACAAATTGGTAAAGGATTAAATTCCCTTCGGGATGACATTTAATAGCTTAGCCCTCTGTTTTTTTAGCATTAGCTTCTGATAGCAAAGGTTCAAGTTCTCCTTTCCGGTAGAGCTTCAGTGTATCTGCATGAGTAAAAAAACAATGTTAGACAAAAGGAGGAAACAAAGAAATTGCACTTTTAGATTTTTATTAAACTTATTGAAACTTGTAAAATACCAAGCTCATATATGAAGACAATTTACAATTGAAGTTTACATAAAAGCAGTAGTAATAAGAATGCAAAAACAAATATCGCTCCAATCACACCGAGGAAAAAAATTGATCTTTTAAACAGTGAAGACATCCTCACTTAGACAATAATATAAAAAGATAATAGATCAAGGACATTATACCTGAACAACCGCCAATGTGTTTGCCACCTGCAATGAAGAATAGTTTTAGGATGGGTTATAAACTGTTCCGTTCAAAAGATGAAAAGCAAGGTAATTAATTGACTTTAGTGTTTTATAGTAGACAATATAACGATGCAATACATTGTTCAAGCTTGAAAAGAAACGAAATAGCTTAATCAAAAAACAGAAAAGAAACGAAATAGTATATTGGGACTTGAATGTAAGGCTTTCAGGGGTTGTGAGTGGCCAATGCGGCTTAGTTTTCAAGTTGGGTTTCGGTAAAGCTTATAGTTGAATGTGTTGGGAGTTTCAAAGGTTCTTCACAAAAAACAAAGTCTTTGGAGTTAGACGGAAAAACTGGATATCTGACTGTCTCTCAAATTGTGTGCAAATAATAATAGAGCAGATTTGTTGGAAACCTAAAAATCTAAAAATGAGTTGATATTTCATGAACGGAGCAAAATATTATCACATTCTAAATGATCTGAATTATTAACAAGAAATTTGAAAACAGAGAAGGAGCATGACACCACATGGGAACCTCACTCAAGATGAATTTACAACCTCAAGACAAACAGCTACCCTGCAGTCAACAATATATGGATCTAATGGCTTCCCCAAAATATCACCAATTTTAAAGTGTATCAGTGTATCACAATGCAGTAATGTAGGACCCTAAGTAGAAAGCTGAACACAGCAAGAATTGAGGCAGCTAACTGCAAGTTGGACATGCAAGAAGTCTTGGTGCTGAAATCTACAATTGGACTGCATGCTATCACCAGAAAAACATTTAATGCTTCACTAAGTAGAGTTTTCTGATTATTTTATTTCACGAAATCAGACTATAAAAAGAACTTAAGGAGTAAAGGTACTTGTTGTATCAAATTGAGTGAAATTTTCGAAAGACCACTCTCTTGTGTATAACCATGTGTGTGAGGGTGAGAAATATTCCATTCCTCCTCCATTTATTGTCTACATTCCCCTCTTCAAGAACAAGGTTTCAGGGTGCACCAAGGGAAAATGCTCCATAGAGGAGAGCATGTCAAATATGTGGCTTATCAACATCCACCAGTAAGACAGGTTCTCTTGCCATCCAGTCCACCAACAGTGACAACTGACAAGGATGAATATTGATAGATGCTAATGGCATAAATATTTAACTGACAATGAGATACTGACTGTTTGTAAGAGTATGATTAAGCAAGAGTATTGCATCCAAGATAGTACGTACCAATAAATACATTTGGCACAGTGTATTGCCCTGTGATCCTTTCCAATACCTTCTGCAACTGTGGCCCTTGAGGACCTAAAGATAAATATACATACATTTAAGATGCAAAACAAATGCACAAATTATAAGGCAAAGAAAAAAATGTGTCGTGTAGAATGATTTCCCTCTTTATGTTCAAGAGAGGAGCAATGGGAAGGTCAAGAGATAGTGAGGAATTTTGCAAATTTCTATCATCAGTGATAATGTTTACTACTAGTAATACACTCCATCCAAAAATTAACCAAGAGGAATGTGATTTATAATTATATTACAAAAAACAAAAAACTGAACTAAACTTGTATATTCTATCTAGAATGGAAATTAATGGTCTGATTGGATAAAGCTTCTCAATAAATACTTAAAGGAAAAAAAATAAGAATGTAAAATGAATTAAATTTCTCTCATAAGTTAAAATTAGCTTATACAGAAGTTAAAATCAGTTTTTGGAGAAACTATAGTTGATATTAGCAACAACTCAACTTAGTTTGAAGATCCCTAAAAGCTTGTACATGGCTATGATATGTCAAGCCCATTAATGGTGTGTTTGGGGAAGGTGATTTAGTCAGGAATGGAAAAGAAAGGGAGGGATTATCAAGGAATTAAAAAAAAAAAGTGTGTTTGGAAAGATGATTTTAGTGGATTTGTGAGGAAATTGTGGTGGGGCCCATGTGAATTTAATTCCATTCTTTTAAGAGTGACTTTGTGTGGAGTTTTCCACAAAAAAAATGCATGGACAAAACTACCCCTACACTATTATCTAAATAGTTAATTAGTAAAAGGTAAAAATATAATTGTTTAAATAATATATTTTTACATAAAAATCTAATCATGTAAAATACATTTTCAAAATACCAATTTCTCTCTTCTTTTTTTTTTTTTTGCTTAATTCTACTTTACCAAATAACTATAAATTCCACGCAATTTCCTATCAAATCAAGCCTCACCTATTCTCTTCCATTCCTCTCAATTTTTCCCCCTCTCCCAAACAAAGCATAAGGGTCCGTTAGGATAAACTTTTCAAAAACAATGTAGCAGCAGAAAAAAATACGAAAAAATAAATTGCTTTTCCCTTAACTAAAATTAGCTTACATAAAAGTTAAAAAAACATTTTGGAAAAGCTAATACTGAAAAATTTCTACAAATTAGTTTATGCACAAACTAATTTTAGTTGGAGAAACTGATCCAAAAAGGCCCTAACAAAAGTACATGAGAACTACAATTTGGAAGTATAATACATCAAAGGCATGCATAGATATACAACTAAATACACGTACAAAGCAACATGGAGAAATTCACAAAAGTTCATACACAATCAAGGCATCCATACAATACTTGCTAAAAAAGAAGCACAAAATGGAAGGTAACCACAAAAGGCTCACTAGGCATATATATAAACATTGTAAGTATTAGTAAGCAGTAGCAGCATGGGGGAAATATGAATGGGAAAATCAACAATTAGGAAGAAAGGAAGATGAATTGAAATACCCATTTCGTCCAATTCGAAGATGAGTGGGTCGACGTTGAGCTTCTTGAAGAGGGATTTGACCTCAGAAGAGTAGCTAGAAAAAAAAAAGGGAAATTAGGAAACAGAAACGGTAATTGAAAAAGAATGATGATGATAACTTACGAGCACCAGGTTTTGGAATAAACGACAACAGGGTTGTCGGAAACGGTCTTCTTGATGGTGTCTTCGAGGCGAGAGCCGAAGGAGGGAGAGGAGGAAGCGGCTCGAACGAAGGTGGGTGCACGCATGGGCGTTGGAGAGGCGATGATGGTGCGGGAAATGGGAAGAGAATGAGTGAACAAGAGTTTGGTGTTTGGAGAAGGGTTCGAGTGTGAGAGAGGAATAGCGACAGCGCTGCCCAATGCCGATAACGATGCCATATTCATTTGCTCTTCAATTCAACTCTACAAGACTCACCTCTTGAGTTATTAATTACCCAAATCATAGCCTTCTAACTTCTAACCAACCCTTTCTTTTGCTGCAATCAATTCTTCTTCTTTTTTTTTTTTTTTTTTTTTTTTGCAATAATTTTTTTTTTTTTTTTTTTTTTTTTTTTTTTTTCTACTTACCCCTAATTTCTTTCATACTTGATAAGTTAGTAAAATTGTTTGTTTAGTTGTTAAATAAAAGGAAAATTTGTAAACACTTTCTTAAATCCCACTTATATAATCATTAAAAAAATGTCACTCATACTTCCTTTCTTTCGTAAAAATTATAAGTTATTTACATGTAAAAAATTGTTAAGCAACCTTTTTTAATGTAAATAACTTCTTCAAAACTTTGTTAGTTATTATTATATTGAAAATTAGTGTATTATATTATAACAAATTTAGATTTACGAGTATTTTTTTTTTGGTTGATTTGAGAAGAAGGGTTATCAATTACTCTAAGGTGGATCTACGATTGAGTCATTAAACAACTAGAATATTATTACTGGTTGTTTAATGCTAAGGTAGTTGGATCAACTTATCATAGATGATGTTTGTTGGATGCCTTATGACAACCATTCTACAATATGATTGTTTCTCCCAATCTTTTTATTATCTTGTTTCCTTGACAACCATTCTACAATATGATTGTTTCTCCCAATCTTTTTATTATCTTGTTTCCTTAGTATGGGTACATTCAAACTATTCACTAATTGTCATAAAAGCTTCAAGTTGTACTTATAGCACTATGCTTTTTCATATATGTATGTTTATATGACATTTTTTGTTGTTTGATTTCTATAGTTATGTTTGGTCATCTAGTAGAACTCTAATAGTCAAGGAAGTTAAGTTGTAGAGAGTAATTTGAGTTGAGGTCAAGTTTGATCAATAAGGGGGAGAGGTATATAAGGGTTTTTGGAAACCACAATTTCATGTTTCATTTTTCAGAAATCTTAAAGAGAAGTTAGAAAGAGGTGCTCTAAAACCAGGAAGAACATTTCTAAACTGGATCCTCCAAAAGCATTTATACCTTTCCCTAAAGTTGTATTGAGTTTAAGAAGTATATTCAAACCTTGTAGAACTTGGATTTAAGGAGAGAAGTCGACCCTTTGAGGGTTTTATTGTTAATTTTCTCATTGATAGCTTGTATGTTGAAATTTTAGGAGATTGAAGTTGTGTTGAAAATTGGGGTTTAAGAGTTGTTAGATAAAAAAACTTAATGATGTTAGATTTTAGAGCCCATGTTGTTGTATGTATGATTTGAGGCTCTTTTGGAGTTGTTTATGTTGTTTGGTGTAACGACCCGCCACGGTCTTTACACTTAGTGGAATCGCACTACAACTAGTTAACTAAGAGAATATTAAACTGGATAACACATACCTACAGGCATAAATATAAAGATCAAAATAATTAAGTTTCTGTATATAAAATATAGCACCATATATGTACAATCATCCCAAAATATTCCTTAGTGTTGCCTTAGAACAACACCACCCAAAACATTGCCATCTATAACATGGCACCACAACTTGCTTGCCCTTTAGCCTAATAATGCCCTACTCCCACAATAGTATGATCATCATAGTCCAACAACAAGAAAAAATAAGGGTAAGCTCGTAAACCACAAAACAACATAATATAGAAGAAATTAGCTAGCTATAAAACAATTTTATCAACATAACACATTAATAGCTCAAGCTCAAATTGACAACATAGATTAATATATCAACACAATTTTTCAACTTAACAACATGAAAAAATTTCAACTTATAACACAACTTACTAGCATACTAGCTTAGAAACTTTTCAACATATCAACTTATAGCATATGAACAACACAATTTTTCAACACAACATAAGAATAATACAACAACTTCACAACACAACAACTTATAACACATTAACTTAATAACACAACAACTTTATGTGTTGTTATGTATTTCAACTAAAAATTCTCTTACAACACAGGTGAGCAGTCTAAGTGACTTGACACTACTGAACCAACAACAACATGATCTTTTTGGCTTGCTAAATCAAAAATAAATTTGGATATCAATTCACAACATAATATGATTTCTTAAATTTTATCACTTACACTAGGATTGGATGTAGTTTCGATGATTGAGATGAACTATCATAAAAACATTGTGTGTTCTTTTCTCTTGTCTCTTCGTCTACACTTGCAAAGTCCTTAATACTACTTCACTATTTCGAAAAAAATGTTGAGTTTTTTTATTGACACCATTCAATTTTCCCTTTCTAATGTCTTTCTTTTCTCCATATTTAGTAATAAAAGACTGTTGCCCAAAGAATCTGGAGTGAACTAATTTAGTGAATGGAAAGGAATTTAGGATTGAATGAAGTTATATTAGGAGATAATTGAAGGAATTCATAGCTTATTTATTTTTCTTACTAACTTATTTATCTTGGTTAAGTAGAAGCCAAAATTGTAACAACTCGACAAATGTTTACAACTTATTTACAACACAACGAAAAACATAAAACTAATCTAATATATAATTATCATGCAAGAAATCATTGGATATTCATCCAACAATATATATGTAAGGAAATAAACAACTAAAAACATAAAATCCCTCAGTGGGATTATATCTAAACCTTATACATATATATTGACACACACACACAGACACACATAAACACACAAATATTAGGCTACAAAACATAAAGATCCTAGGTTGTTGTTCATCCAACAACTAAATCTTGCCTTAGAACAACACCACCCAAAACATTGCCATCTATAACATGGCACCACAACTTGCTTGCCCTTTAGCCTAATAATGCCCTACTCCCACAATAGTATGATCATCATAGTCCAACAACAAGAAAAAATAAGGGTAAGCTCGTAAACAACAAAACAACATAATATAGAAGAAATTAGCTAGCTATAAAACAAACATAATCAGTTTCTATCACCATTGATCTTTTTTGTTGTATTAAATTTTAATAAATTTATTTAGTTATATTTATAATGTTAATATTCAATAAATTTAATTATTTGATGTTAGTTTCGGAGTTATGGTATTTGATAAGTGAAAATCGAATAAAAAAAAATTATTTATAGGCTAGAAAGGCCCTTTTTGGTTCCACTTTTTATGTGCTAATTTTGAATCCAGAACGGCCCATTCTGATCCATTCGTCATATGTTAATTATTTATAGGCTAGAAAGGCCCTTTTTGGTTCCACTTTTTATGTGCTAATTTTGAATCCAGAACGGCCCATTCTGATCCATTCGTCATATGTTATTTTTTAATCTAGAAGGACCCGTTCTAAAATCGCCCGTTCCAGTTTGGGAACGGCCCATTCTGGGCTACTAAACAACCTCTTTTTTTTTTTAACAATGTTACATTTGGAATCAATCCATCAATTTGCATGTGATGTTTTGGGTTTGGAGGGAGCTTGAGAGTGTCTATGTGTTGGAGTTGTAGAGTATTCTCACTTAGCAAGATGATTCTAGCTGAGTGGGCCTTGAAAGGTTGAAGGCACAAAACCAGATTTTCAAGTTTTCTTTAAGCGACAGTTGCTCACTTAACAAAAGTTGATGAACACTTTGAAGGCCCACTTAGCAACATAGTGTCACTAAGTAAGTAGTGGTTATAGGTCACTAGAAACAAACCCTAGCCTCTATGTTAGGCCTTGAGTAGACTCGCTAAATAAAGTGAACCATAAGTAAGGCACGACATCTACTATGATGAGCTCCTAAGAACTCGCTAGGCCAAACATTGTGGCTAAGTGAGCTATAGTCTAACAAGAGCCCATTTTGGGAGGTCGCTCAATAAGATTCCTCCTTTGGAACTTGGGTCACTTAACGAACATGGCTCATTCAACGAATCTCCTATTCTATGAATACTCTAACTTAGTTGACTTTTATCATGTTGTATATGAGACGTTTCTAAGTTGAAGTTGTTGTGTCAATGTTTTATAAAGTTGTATGATGTGAAGTTGTAAAGTAGCAAGTTGTGAAAAGTTTATTATCTAAAGTTGTATGTTGAAAAGTAGTGAGTTGTGATAAGCTATTAAAATTGAGGTGTGTTCATGTTGTGCATGTTTTTCTAAAGTTAAAAGTTGGAAAATTAAAAGAGAATTAAGTTATTTTTAGTTGTAAAGATCTCATTGTGTTGTGGGGCTATGAGAGCCTAATGAGAAAAACCCTTTAGTGAGAAAGTTGTCTCCTAAAAAGGAAGTTATTTTTCAAAATTTGTCTCTTCTAGGCTTTTTAGTTGAAAATAGTACATGGGTTAGGCCAAACCATACTTGTCATAAGTGGCCAAAGAGTAAGGCACTGAGTTGAGAGCCAAAATCCCTAATTGAGTGCTTGAAGGATGTGTGGTACTTAGAGGATAAGTGACAGGCTAATTCCATTTAGGACTTGGTTAATGCATACCGATGGTAGACTCACACCTAAGTTGTTCCATTCCTAACAATAATACTAAACATTTTTAGTTTAAGTGTTAAGATCTGAGAAAGTAAAAGTTGCTTACTTAGTTTGAAATGCAAAACATTCTATACTTGGTCTTAATAGGATCCAAATGTTGTTTCTATACTGGGCCCAAAGAAGGGCTAGACATCGTAGGTTTGGTAGGATTAAGCTACTTAAATTGCTCACAAGTTGAAGAAGATTTGCAAAGTTGAAAATGCGTGACAACTCATAAGTTGTTAAGTGTAGTTATTGCATTTAAAGTTGTATATTGAGTTGTTTGTATTCAAAGTTGTAATGTTTAATTTAAAAGTTGATGATGAAAAGTTATTCTAAGTTGGTTGTTGTTTTATTCTATTAAAGTTGAAATTGTTGGCTTTTAAGGTTTCATGTTTATGTTGATGCCTTGTATACAATCTTATTCTTATGTTTTTATGTGTTAGACTGCAATGATCATTTTTGGCATGAGAACGGGTCAAGATTAGGTGGAGGGCTTTGCTTGGATGTTATGGTGGCCATGTTGAGGAATACTTATGTTTTGGTGCTACTCTAATGTAGTTTTGTATACCTTCACCCAGTGCTA